CTGCCTCGAAGGAAGGGGAATGGGCCGAGGCCGTCCGCGCTGCTGCGGCGCCTCGAACAAAGGAGGTGCCGGTTCTGCCCGCCCCAGCTGCGCTGGGGCATTGCCGCCACGGAGGGATCCGTCCCCAGCGGTAACGGGCGCCGTGTGTGCCCGAAGGGCCGGCACCGGAGACGCTCCGTTAGGTATAGGCTGGTTTCGCGTGCAGGGGGAGGCACGCTCGAGCGATGATCTCGTGGTTTTGTCAGCTGAGTAAGGGACGCTTCTCTGCCCCGGCACAGCCTGCTCCCGTGGACACGCGTGTTCCGTCAGCGCTCAGCCCGTGGCGTTTTGCCGTCGGGGTTCTCGGTACCCCAGCAGCGGTTGGCGGCCCCTCTCCCCTGCGATCCCCGTGCAGCTGCTGGGACCCGTGCGAGCCGTTCTGGGCTGGAGAAGTTCCTGACAAGTTGAGGCTTTATCCAAAGACTGGAAAATTAAGAACATGGGAGGAAAACAAATGATGCTTTGCTTTCAGCTGAGGAGTAGAATGTCTAATGCAAACCCTTGCAAATTGCTTTGTAGTCTGTTTTTGGGTTTTCCAGAAGATGAGGTTATATCGGCAAGGATATGTTTGATAGTGAAAATGAGGCTTGGAAATATCCATTTGTCTGTACTCTCTTCTTTTGCTTATATACTCAAATGTTTCTCAGCTCCTTTCTTAAAACATCTTTCTTCAACATATGTGTTTGAATCTTGAACAGTGAGGCTTTTCTGTGTAGTGATTACTCCTATGTGCATTGATTAAATGTTGCTTTTATTTTTAGGGTAAACTGAAAAGCTCAGGCTTGCCGATCCTCAGCTGCCCTGATGCTATCATCTGGGGTGGAATCTCTCCTGGATTCTTCTGTGTGTGCTGTGACAGAGAAGCTGTACACTGGGCTGCCAGAGAGCATCTCCACGGAACTCATGGCTGTATCGGAGCCGCGTGGTGGGTTACATGTGAAACCCGATGTCTCGACGCCCGTGCTGGTGTGCAGCGACAGTCTGTCAGCCGAGCATCACAGGACTTCTGGAGCAGAAAACTTTTGGCAGAAGACAGAGGATTTGGGTGATAGGCTCGAGGTGATTTCTCATGGGCCAGCAGAATCCCTTACTAAGGTGTTACTAAAGGCTGGAGACCCTGAAGAGGATGAAAAGAAACAAAGAAACTTCAGGAAACTAGACTGTTCTAGTGACACATGCCAGAAAGAAGACGAAGGGGCCCAAGGTGCTGAGGAGTACCATGCTGAATGCTGTGCTTTAACTTCTGGGGAAAGTTGGTCAAAACAAGTAAGTAAGAAAATGCAAAAATTTGTCCCTGCATGATATTTTGAATTTAGAGTGACTAGAGAGAAGACTTTGTCCATGTGGCTTCCTGTTTCTAGTGTGTGTCTTCTGGCATTTGTGTGTCGTTATTTGGATTATCATGGGCTCAGTGAAAAATTAGACTGTACTTGGTGTGTAGCAGGCACATGGCAGAACAAAGAATAAAAGTGACAGGCTACTAAAAAGGAGAAGAGAAACAACCTGATAAGGTCTTTGCCCAGTATCCGTGTTTTGTGAGTACAGCATATTCTGCTGGTACTGTCATCCCCAGCCAAGGCATGAGCCACTACGTGGCAGTTGTTTCAGTCTGGGGGTAGTGTTATAATCCTGCAGGGTGTCCCAGTCTTGTATTTCAGTTTTTAATCTAGAAATACTAGTCTTCATTTTGAGAATTGTTTGTAATTAGAGAGGAAATTGCTCAAAATTTATTTCCTCTCTCAAAACAAGAGACTTGCATGGTCATACTTTTTTTTTTTTTTTTTTTTATTCCTCCCTTCTAGCAAATACTGATGATAAAAATGTTATTTCTAGGCAAAGGCTGCTGAAAAATTTGCCAACAAATACTCTTTTTTTTAAAAACTGAAGAGTCACAAAACTGTCTACTTAAAAATCAAGATTTTTAGTGACTTTCTTGATCAGTTTTCTTCAGTTTGGAATTAGTTTTCACACACACCAAAATAACATAGGAGAGAAAAAAGGTATTATGATCGAACACATACCAGCCAGGAAGTATCTGGATAAGGTGTGCAGGTGCATATTTTACACTAATTGGTGGATGTTGCGTAATACTAAAATACTTTGTGGTTTTAACTCTGGTTTTCTATATCTGTTTGATTAATTTGAAACTTTGTGAAAATAAGGTTAATTAAATTTTCCACAGTCATTCCGTTTTCCAAGATGAATTTTCACATATTTCAGAATTCAGGTAGTTTGGTTGTGGAGTCTTGTGTTGGTTTGGCCTTTTTGTTTTTGTTTTTGTTTTTTTTTGTTCCAAGTATACCTGAGTTGTCTATTCCTGGGTTTGTGTTTTTGAGCCAAGGGAAGGAGTGGTAGAATGCAAGTTCTGAAAAGAACACAAAGTACATGCCTCGTACCAGAGGTACGCAGCCATGGTGGGGATGTGAGATGGACTTGGAGACTGCATTATTCCCATTCAAATTTGTGACAATTTGCATATTAAGCCACTTACGTGTTAGCTACCTGCATTGCAAGACTTCATTGCTGATAAGTACAGATCTTTTCTGCGTGCATCATTGTTTAATGGTGAGATGGTAGTGATTGAAAGGATCAGAAAGGAATGACAAGTGGTTTTGTGAACCACCTGCAACATGAGGCTGCCTCCGTGAAAAGCCTGATATGTTCTGAGCTTTCTTGGTGGTTTTCTTATTCAGAACTATTCCTATTCAGAAGCTGAGCAGGCACAGTCCCTGAAACATGCCAAACCTTTCAGAAAAACCATCCATCTCCACTGATGTATGTGCTGTGTTGCAGGAGGACCCTCACTTAAACCAGCATGAGGTGAAGTCTTTGAGAATGTGTTGCACTGAAATAGCAGGATCTCTGGAGAGCACAGGTGTGTATTTCACTTGTACATCCCTGTCTACTCCCTGCTTCTGTCCCAGGTTGGTTTTGTTGATTTAAAACTGATTAGTGACTGTGGGGTAGCTTATTTATTTTGCTTTACAGTAGAAACTGATAGCCTGCATAGCTAGAACAATATGAGAACTTAATCCTCTGCTTTTTCCTGACAGCATGTGTACTTGCCTGAAGACCTTTTATGTACGAGATATGTTTTAGTTAGTTACTTTAAATACTTATTTTCCCCAAAGCAAAAGGTATTGTTAATAGCAGATGTTTTGCATTTCCTTTTGTTTCAAAGCTGGCTTATACGAGAGCAATAATAGCAAAGATGTGAAAAATTATGATTCATTTGTTTTCTAATATTTTAAAAAAAAAAGTGCAGAATCCAAAGGAAGGGAACAACAAAATTAATTCTTAATTACATTATGATCCATAATCTGCTAGCTCCAAATGGTTTGGTCATTTTGCCCTGCATGTAGTAATTACTTTCTTTCTCCCCCTTGTGCTCTCATAACCAAAACTTGTACTTATTTTAAGAATCCCATCTAGTCTTGCCACTTAGTAGAAAATACGAGTAAGATCTGTAGAAGTCTGGGCAAATGTGTTCCCTGTAAAGTTTTGAATATGAAGATATTCTACAGTAACTGTAATTTTTTTAATTAGTACCTTTTAAAATTATTTTAAATAAATAAATTTTAAAAAAATCTTGGACAGAATGAGATATGCATTGTCTTCCTGAGGATGGCTTACTGACAAAAAGGCCTTCAAGGAAGAAGGAATGGAAATGGCAGCTCCATGCACAGCCATATTTCTAGGGTAGAGGAGATAAAGTACCCAACTATGCTGAGCTTTGTTATAAATAAATGTCATGATGTTGGCCATATATATTAAGTTGTAGGACCTGCATTGCACCTAGTTTGATCTTAGAGGAATCTGAAAAATTTGGTCTTCGGATGCCTGCTGCTCATGGGGAAAATCTGTACTGAAAAGATTGTTTGTTACATTAGTGTTGTGGTGAGGTAGTTTTATTTTATTCTTTTAAAGGCTTGTAGTAGAAGTGTTAGCATCAATTCCCACTTGTAAAAATGTTTTGGTAACCAACACTGTACACAGTATTGTGTACAGTACTCCTAAGGACTTAGTAAGCTGAATGCCTTCTAAATTTAGTGTATGGTTCTGATTTACATTTTTTTTTCTTATGCAGAAGAAAACCAAGCAAATGTTCAGGTGACAGCTGAAACTCTGCCAAAGCTCACTGAAGAAGTACAAGGTATGAAGGCTGATGGGACTAGGAGATTCAGTAAAGCAGGATACAGGAATGACAGAGTGAGTAAAGGTCTTCCACCCAAGAGCAATGAAAGCCCAGATGTAGACACAGTCATGGCCAGAGCTGAGGTTTCAGAAACCAGCACATTAGATTGTGTAGAGCCTTTAAAAATCACGGACATTGAATCAGCCACAGAGCATCCACAAGAAACAGGTGAATATAATGGGCTGAAAGCCCATACTGCCATGCCATTGAGAACAGGGGGTGATGTTGTAGCTGTTTGGGAGACTAGAGAAGAGAAGTTACCACAACGAAGTCCCATTAATAAATTCAGTACACCACTTGCTAATTGCCAGACATATCAGCAGGATGAAGAAAACCATGCTCATGACTTCTGTACTGATCCTGTACCTAATCATAATGAACCTTACAGGTTGTCACCAGTAGAAAGCTGTAGACCACTCTCCACAAAACATTCTGAAGTTTTGTATTCGGTTCTGAAAAACATCTCTTACCTGGACTTTAGAAATATGCCACTAGAAAACAATAGTACTGCAGTCCATGGCATTCTCAGTGAAACCCCTAAAATCTATCTTACCCAAAACATCCAAAGTCAGACTCATTATGATCGTGGAACTGGCTTTGTAGCTAATAGAACCTCCACATCAATACCAGCAGAGCACACCTCGGTGTTAAAGAGCCAAGGATTATCTAGTGCTGAAATCGACCCTAAGGAAGTAAGTGCTAGTATAGATAAGTCATACAACTCTGAATTTGAAGAGGCTGCTGAAGTCAAGAGAAAAATTGCTGGAGACAACATAGAAATTCATAGCTGGCCTGAAGATCACGAAGGTGCTAATTCTGAGCACTGTCATTCTTCAGTTTCTGGTTCTGTTGCTTCATCTCCTGAGGAGTTCTCGAAAGAAGAATTTATAAAGGTCCCATCAGAGGGTGATAAATTGAAAAAGGATCAGTGGCAATTCTCTGTCAGTGATCTATGCAAGGATGATGTAAAAGAAAATAGTCTATTGGTGGAAATGAGCAACGCTGCTTCCCATGAAATTGGACTGACACATATATGCTTTTATAATACCTTCAGTAAAATTTCTCCTTCCAGTAGCCAGAGCTGTCTGAATCTTAGTACCAAGCTAGAAAAAGATTCATCAGAGGTACAACTGCTTGAAAAACAATCTAATAGAACATCAGAAGAGTTGGCTGGCAGTTTAGTCAAAGCTACAGAAGCTAATGACCATTTGTCCTCTGACAAAGAAAGTAATTTGCTTTATACACTAAATGTAACTCTACCTCCTGTTGAGAGAGGAGAACCTGGTTGTATTGAGTGTTCTCCTTGTACTTCTAATGAAGTTTTGAGCAGGGATAAGGCTCAGGATAATCCATCTAGAAAAGAATCAGTTGGTGCTTCTGGAAATACAGAGGAACAAGTCACTGAAATTATGCTTCATAAAGACAAGTTCAAGTCTTCAGTAAGTTCCAAGATTTTTCATACCCCTAATATGACAAGCAAAATTTTCCAAAATGACATGAAGTCTTCGGCAGGAAATACAGAGGATGTAGTCACTGACTTAGAAAATGAACGCAGTGACACATGGAATTGCAATAATCAGAGTGTGCAAGCCCAGTGTACAGCTGCCAGTACTTCCTGTATTTTATCAGGGAGTACACATGTAGATGATGTTCTCCTGAACAGTCATTCTATCAGTGTTGAAGTTGATAAGAAGAGTGAAGAAAATTATTATTTGGAAGGAGAAGGTTCAGCTGGATTTAACAGTACTAAGGCAATTATCTTTCCAGAAGCACACTTCCCTTTGGCATGTGGATCTGTTCCTTGTGGAGATGACTGGGGCAACAGAGGTGTAGATCTGCATGGGATAAATGACATTTCCACAGAAAAAAACATGTTTTGTTCAGTTTATACTGCAGTCAAGTCTGCTGCTACCTTGGTAAGAGATGTTTCAAATAAGAGTATGGATATTGTGAAACAATGTGATCTTTGTAATGTAACAGACAGCAGTGAAATTATTCGTGACAGAGATGAGGCAAAAGATCAAATCAGCATGTGTGTGCTCCAGACAAATGAATTTGATATAATAAGAACTGTGGATTCTCCAAAGGCTACTGAAGGCAATCGGAGAAATAAGACTACTGAACAGCTGTTTGTCAGATATTTGAACAAAAAAACCTGTGTTCATAATTTTAGATTTTGCCACTCTCCATTAGGTGTAAAGAAGAGAGAACTAGGGACATGGGAGAAGAAGGCAGTGTCATCACTCACAGCTAATCCCTCTGAGTGTAGCACATCAATCTGTGATACAGGTCTGTTACTCAGCAGTGTGAGAAGTCAAACACAACATGCTAGCCAAACAGGAAAGAGCCTTTGTCGAATGGAAAATCAATGTCTTGCATGTCAGAGTGAGTTTGATGGCCCAGTTCCAGGCAGCGAGCAACATTTAGAAAGTTTAAACAAACAACTAAACACTGGCTTAGGAGCTACAGCTACTTCTGTGGAAGAAACCACACCACCAATTTGCTCTAGTCGAAGTGAAGGGGAACCATTAAAAACAGGTGACGACTTGCCTCTGTTAGTTCATAAAGATGCAAGAGAAGACAGTTTTCAAAGAACTCTAAAAGAGAATGTAGTGGACTTGGACTGTTTAACTGGTGTGGGACTTGACAGTGATCTGTGTGAAGAGAAGACAATCAAGCTAAAAGAACATGAGAATGGATATGAAAGAGAAGATAAAGGAACTCTTGAAGAAAGCTTTTGTACTAGCAAATCACACTGCTCACAGCATGCTTGCTCTACCGAATGTGCAAAAGAGAGAGCAGAGCTGGTGTCTGCAGAAAACAAAATGCAGCAATCTTTGCCAAAGATGAAGTGGTTGGTGGAGGACCAGGAAAATACAGTTAGTGCCCAATTTTTGCCTTTCTCATCAATTCATGACAGTCTGTCATATAAGCCAGGAAGTATGAATGTGCTTTCAGAGACAGAAAACAAAAAAACTCTGAGAATAAAACCAATCTTAAATAACACTTGCCTGCAGTTAACATTTGAGTCTGTTAAAGTAACTGATGTTCAGAAGGGTATTGGTCCATCCCACTTTGGAAAATTTAACATACAAGAATCTTTTAATGAGACTCTGTCGGATTCAGAAATTCTGTCATCTCTGAACTTGGGCATCTCTCTGCCTGAGAAAGAAAAGCTGTGTGGGTCATCTGAGAATACACAAATAGATAATTGTGATTCGTCTGCAGCCAAAGCGTTTAGCAAAGATTCTTCAGTAACAAAACCTCTTTCTGTAGCAATGCCTACAAAACAGAAAGCCAGCAATACTGAGATTCCATCTTCAGAGACTGAAATGGTAACTAGCTTTCTGTATGGCGCAAAGAGCTCAAGAATTTGTGCACGCAGCAAAAAAAGCCTGAGAAATGAGAGGCATAGCATGTTGACTGTAAAAGACATGGACGTGAGCTCTCAGAAAAGTACTCGCTGCAGAGAGAAGTTTAAGAGTACAGGTCTAGAAGAGAAGATGGGAAGAGAAGTAGCTCCCAGAAAAAAGTTGCCCATAGATCCTTTTCTTGATGGAGAAGATTGTCTAGGGGCTTCATTAGAAGGTTCAAAAGAGTCTGGCAGCAAAATAGTCCCTCTCAGTACCAAGAATTACGGAAACATTTTAGAAGAAATCCCAAGATCTAACACATGTAATCTTTCAAGAGAAAGAAAAAATTATACAAAGCTCACAAACATAGCAGGTACCAGTCTACTTTCAGAACCTGTGCATGATTGTCAAGCTGAAGATGCATCTGATGCAGAAACTTCACCAGATTTGCGGTATAATACAATACCCACGTTCTATCCACCTGTGAGTATACTATCAAACAGTAGCAAAGAACCATCCTCAAACTGTGTGGTTTGCAGTGAAGTGTGTGTGCCTTACAAATTAAACGCACGGAGCAAAGATAGTGTAAGGGAGATTACAGAAGGCCTGGACACTGTACCAACTCATTCAGTGTGCAAGGAAAATGAGTCTTTAGGTTCACAGAGACTTGATCAAATAGAGAAGCGTCAGGTATTTAAACAACAGAAGTACAAGAAGATGAAAGTACATCTCTCAGGCAAGGCACAACAAGAGCAAAAGTCAGAATATCAAGAGAAAGCAAAAATCACACTGCAGCCAAATATGTTGCACAGTTTTGAACTCTTACACAGCTCTTCACCTAAGTTTGTGACATCAAGGAATATGAAGTTTGAAGGTCCTTCAGAGGAGATTTTTGCTCTTGGAACCAGTGAAAATAAACTAAGTAGCACTTTACAAGGAGTCAAAAGGCCAAAGATTACCACAGATATTAGTTCACAGTTTTTGAAGACTCAGGACTCAAAAATGGAAAACCTGAACCTTAATTTAGGGTATGATGGAATCCCTGGTGCCTTTGGAACTACAAATAATCAAAGAGGACCTCTTCCATTGAAAAGACAGCCTGGAAGGACATGCAAAAAGGTTCCCACATCTTATCAGTTAAAAACTGTAAGAAAAAGCAAAAAAGTTAATAGTTCCCCTTTTTTTGAGAAACCCCTGGAAGTACTCCCTGAGCAGGAAAATGCACTTCTCAAATCTTTGTACTCTCCATATAAACCACCGCCAATGGAAATGGAATCAGCCATGAGATTTGTGCATATGCCAAGGCAGAGGGCCAAGAGGTGCTCTTTGAACAGCTTGAAATTCAGAAAATGTACCAAAGAACCAGCATTGTTGAGCAAGCTGTCTGCGATGGCTAGCAAACTCCTGGCGCCTGCCAAAAGCGTCCGTAACTTAGAACCTCTGCCATATTCTTCTGAAATTCTTTCAGTGGGTGAGAGGTACAGCCAACGTAGATCTAAAAATCTATTGGAAGCCTTTTCTTGCATTAACAAGAACTTACACTCATGCTGGGCTGACAGTTGGTGCACCAAGATGTTCAGCTTTCAGCCTTTGGCACTTTATCCTGTAGAATCTACCAAAATACTTTTTTCAGACTTGAACCACAAGCCTCCAACCTCTTCCTTGGATACCCCAGTTTTCCCAATTTCTTTTCACATAAAATTGGACTCCAGTCCTGTGACAGACCTCACAAAGATTACAGCCCAGAACTCTGTACATCACAGACCAGTTTTGGAAGAAAAGGCAGCACTGCCTTCAAAGTGGACTTTCTCTTTTCTCCTGTCTCAGAGCTGTTCAGATGCAACAGCTTTCAAGGAAGATTCCAGACTAAATGATGAACTGCATTCCTCTCTGTCTGTAACAACCCAGACGGCTGCTGCCCTTAATCTTGACCGTGGAAGAAATGCTGTAGCTGAAAGAAGAGGAGGTTACTCCATGCTTGGACTTCACACAGTGTTAGCACTTTCTTCTCCTGGATGCTACAGGATTTGGACGAGAAGAAGAAACTTAACCAGTCGTATTCCAACCATCCAGAGACTATTTATATCACAGTTCACACAAGGTTTGAAAGGGGCCAGGTATCCAGCTTCTGTAGCAGATGACCTCGTCTCTTCATTGCCATACTCATTGGGCAGGGCACTATCCATATGGAGTCAGCATGGTCCTTCTGCCTGTCCCTCCGAAATCACTCCTCTCCATTCCAGTCACTGCAAGTGGCAGCCAAGTGTGGGCATCGAGAACAGGTAAAACCCATCAACTTATTTCTGAGATTAATTATCTATAGGGTATGTACTTGTACCTTTTTGGGAGGGAGAGGGTAATTGCCACTTGCATTGAAGGGTCAGTTTCCTCTGTTCCAAATCTACACATTCTGCTCCAAAAATGGCTCAACGTGGAAGATTCTTCCCTACAGAACAGTCTGTTAGCTGAATTTAAATATATTTGCCTTCACTTTTTTAATACTATCCTGTTTTGGCAGAATGGCTAACTCTATTTTCTTCTCCCTTGCAAAATATACACACCATGCATGAGAATATATAATGCAGAAAGGTGAGCTACTTCATTAGGTCTATTCAGAGTGACTGCAGAACAACTGGATTTCTGAGGTAGGAAAGTTTTTTTCAGAGGTCTGAGCCATAACTGCCACTTGGAACCACTGTAAAATGGTCAATATCAGATGAGGAAGAATCCTGAGGGGTGGGGGATGGTATTGTGTTTTTACAACTTTTAATTGTGTTCCGTGACTGCTCAATGCTGATTGAAACCTCTGTGTGTATGCTGTGCCTTTGCACAGTATGTGCCTGATGTAAGCAAGTGTAGCTCCAGTTCAGGTTGGTAATGAATTTCTCTCTGGGTGTCATTCTTGTTAAGAGTGGGAAGAGGACTGAAATCTACGCAGCATATTTAATTTAACTTTGCTCTCAGCATTTGATATCTTTTTACTAAGAAACAGAATGAGAGAAGAGGTTCCTAGCTCTGTCACAGGATTTTCACATGCTCTTAAGCAAAGATTTTGCCTTTTATGCCTCAATGACATGGGGCTGCTCAGTCTCTGATTTTACAGTCTTAAGATTCTTGGACAGGTTATAGGCTCATGAGCACTGTAGAAATGTCCATTGGATGAATTCTTTTGTTTAAATTCTAGAAAATTTAATGTCTAGAAAACTGATCAGTTTGGCTTATCTTATGTAATACCTTGATATAGAACCAAAAAACTTGCCAGATAACTAATGCTGCATTTAGTTTTGTATAAACAGATAACATACCTAAAAATTTATTACTTGTTAATATAAATTCTAATATCTACCAAAGGGTGTGAGTGAGCTTATGAAAGTACTGCCCCATTCTGGGAGTTGTCTGCACTAAAAGAATGAATTTAAATAATGGCTGAGAGACAACTTCACAGCCCATTCTCTCGGACCAACATTCTTTCTCATTCCATATGAGTCAATATATCAGGCTGAATTTTCTAGCGTGCAGATTAGCACTCTGGAAGTAATCATACCAGTAGACTACAGTTTGAGCCCCAAACTTAAAAAGAAGACACTGTTGCCATACTTAAAAAACAAACAAACAAACAAACAAACAAACCTTGATTTTTAAAACTTAATTCTGTGTATGAGATAAATTTATTATTTTATATGTTGAGGCATGTTGTATCCTTGGGACTGGGAGATCAGAGCTGACTTATGCTCTCGTGTTTTCTCCCACACTTAAGTCTGCAGGCTCCTAGGCAGGTTGTTACCATACCAGTTTAGCATACCCAGTTAGCTAAAGTTTAAGAGAATTTAATTCCTTGATGTAAAGGGTAATTTGAAAACCAAACATTTTGCTGTGAATGATCTTTATGCCAAAGGGAGAGAAGCCAAATTAAATCTTATCACTTCAAGTGAAAAATAACCCAAAGTTAAAACAGTCTAAAAGTCAGGTTTTTTTCTCTAAAATATCTTGCAAATATCTCTATGAGATACCTTTAAAGAAAATCTGAGTGAGGCAACAGAATTAAGGCTAAGTTACTGTAGCATGCAGTGAGTTGAAAAGAATGTTTGCAGAAGTATAAATGAGTGCAGCAAATAAATTCTATTTCTGAAATAGTCAAGCAAAAAAATAACATTAAAGGTGTGGCTCTAAAGCAACATAAAGAACAAAGCCTCACATTTTAAATAAAACAACATTTTAGATTCCATTTTGCTGAAGATTGATAGCCTGTTCTCAACTTAAAAATCTTTTTTTAAAAGGTATTAACAGGAACAGTGACAAAAGCATAATTCAGTAAATCTCTCTTAAATTTGTATGTACTCAAAAAAAAAAATCTCATATGAAATAAATGCTTGTGACATAAATATAACAATACAAGTAGTATGTTTGGTGCAGTGCAAAAGCATTTTCAGTTCTAGTATAACAAGAATCTTTCCCTGTTTTGATTACACTAGTTAAAAATCAGAAAAATGAAAAATTGGCTTAAAGTTCTCTGCAGGCCAGTTTCTTCTGGAAGAGATTTGTCCTCTTTAAATTATTTCATTCATATTTCATTCTTTCATTTTAATAACCAGGAAAACAAGGAATTAGAGTAGTTCTGCCTAAAAATCTTTTTTTCTGTGACTTCCACTGCTAGTAATCAAGCATTCTTTAAGTGAAATCGTTTTTAACTAATGCTTAATTTAAAATTTACTTGAATCCAAGTTATTTTTATAGTGTAAAACAGTAAGCTGTGTATCTAGCACACAGAACACTGATGCGCTATTGATACAGGTCCCAGTAGTGCTGGGATAGTGAGTGGAACATTGAGAGAAACAAACTGCTACAGTTCTGATATTAGTTAACAAACAGAAGAAATGGGTCTTTCTGGCCTCCTCATATATGGACTTATCTGTCCAATAGTTACCTTAACTATTACTTTGTTAGCACTCCAGTCTGGCTGTAGCTTCACTTTAGAACAGTGAAGTATATTTAGCTGTTAGTGGGGGAAAACAGCACATACAAGATTTGCTGTTTAGTGTAATAAAAGCTGTCCCAGCTGAGGTTTTTTCCCCTGCTATTTATAGTGTGGGCACAAAAATAAATCTTATTAAAAGAATTAGGGCTACTGTGCTGACTTTTGTGCCATAGAATCATGGTATTTACCAAACCTTATGGAAAGACCTTTGGTTATGCCAATCAATTAAGGCTATTCAATTAAGATTGTGGGAGTTAGAGACAACAGGAAGTTAATCTTAAGGAAAACCTTCCTTTTACTTGTTGCTGTTGCCACTGTGCACTTTTTATTTAGTAGCCAAATCCTTCAACGTTTTTGCTGAATTTTAAAAACTGGATATTTTGAAGAATATAGACTATCATAGAAATAATTACAGCTTTTATGATAACACTGTCTCCCTTTCTTTCTGTACTTTAATTTTCTTCTCTCATCACTACCAAATTTCAGTGAAAGTAGGACTAGTCCTATTTCCCTAACAAGCTATCAGTGAAATTTCGCAGACTAAAAGGCAGATGTGGCTTGCTCTTGTAATGTTTAAGTCCTTCATTCTTACTCCTGATATTAGCATTTGTTTTTTCTTACAGTCCAGTTTATACTAATAATTTTCCACTCGTCTTTTTTATAGTGTAGGCCTAATTTGTTTGTCTTTTTTTTTTTTTTTTTTAATTCTTCTTTGAAGCAGCTCCGCCATGTTACCGCACTTCCCTGTGCAGAGCCTGGAAGCACTACAGACTGCAGGTTATCTGAGAGGGTGAGTCTCTCGGACTTGGATGTTAACTTGGAGTAGTGGGATTATCAGCTTTCTCACAAGGACATTGCTTATGTCATTTTGGCTTTCAGTTTTGGGCAGTTCGCTCCAAGTACTTTTCTGATTAAAACATTAGTGAAGTAAATGGACTGGATCATGTAATGGGGAATTGCAGAGGGGTGTTAATGCAAACACCATGTAGGTCACTGCACAGAGCAGTTCTGTTACTTTAACCTTGTTATGCTGCTTCTTATGAAATGAGTATGTTAAACTACAGAAGTTTGTTTCCTTACTTGGATATATGTCCTTTCTCTCCGAGTGGCTGGACGTTAGGTGCTGAAACTTCCTTCTGTTCTTTTTCAGTGTTGAGATGGCAGATATAAAAGCTATCTTTTATCTGTAAACAAAAAGGCTAATTAATAGTAGTGCTGGCAGAGGAGGAGGACTAATGACTTTCTATCTGTAGTTACTAAACAGAATTGTAAAAAGTTTAACGATAGAATAAGGAAAATAGTGTGTTAAAAATGACACGTTCAGATACACAGGCAGTTGTTTATTTCAGTGTCAATGCAGGCTGCAGCAGTTCTTGGCTGTATGTATGTATTGGAGAAAAGTGTTCACTTACTTGGGCATTGCAGCTTTTTGGAACTGCATTGCTTTTTGTGCCCATATTGCAATTTAGGAACCTGAGAGTGTGGAATGCTGCTGCAGCATAAATTGGGTATTAATCTACTTATGTTCCTTCCTTTCTCTGTTACAGTCTGGAAACTTCATTCCCTCTTCCATTACCAAAGTCTTGCTCGCTCCCGGAATTGTTACCGTCCCCCGCAAAGCTTTCAGCATCTGAGCGCCAGGTCCATGCCCTTGATGAAGCTGATATTTCCATTCCAGCCTGTCTTAGATCCCAAGGTGATACAGAACTGAAAAAAGTGAGTTCATTTTAGATTTTAAGTATCTTAGATGCTCGGTTCCCCAGAACTTAAGCTGCTGAATATTTTTTAGTAACTGTTAAAGATGAGGAGAGAAAACAGGCTGTGAGTCCTAGTCTGTGTTGCCGCTTTTATTCAAGCAGAAAGTGGCAAAACAAAGAGGAATGTTTATTCTGTAGATACTGTATACTCAACATCAATAGGAATTCTAATGACTAGCATGGTCATTATTTCCTTCATTTTTTTTTTTTTCCTCTTTTCTTTCTTAAGCCTGAGCCAGAAAAGAGGCCAAATAAAGTCTCACAGATCCGAATCAGGAAGACTGTTCCTAAGCTGGACCATAACCTTACTCCGATGGGGCTACCCAAACCAAAAAGGTGGGTGGTATCTTTGGATGGACTCGCAGTAGCTTCTGTTGCTTACACTTCCTGCATAATAATGTGATCGTTTCAGTAAATGCTTTTTCTTACCACTGCTATTTGTACACTCACAGTCAAGTGCTATGGTTCCTGTATAAGAGAAGGCTGACACAGCTGTATCAACTGTATAAAACACTGAAGAAAGAAATTGGTCTTTGAATGTAACTTTTTTTCAAGTGAGAAAGAGTAAATGAAGGACTGTGGGATATGAACTGCTGACTGGGGTTTAGGCAAAATGTGAGAAACTAAGCTGCAATGGAATGATTTTCTAAAGAAGAAATAAGTTTGTATTGATGAACATACCTTGAAAATAAGTCATTCTACAGTGCACAGTGATGAAGTGATCTATTAGGAAGTTCTATTTTTGCATATTATGTTGGAGTTGTTCACAGTCCCTTTTTTGTGTGTGGTATATGGTCTTAGGGAATCAGTTCATTGTAAACACGGGTAATCACAGTCCCAGGTATTGAAAAGCTTCTCTAGGAAGTCATCTAGTATTTTGTTCATTTCAGTCTTAAACATAAGTATCAGCTTTGACAAAGGAATGCATTTCTTCACAGATCAGCTTGCTAATTGTCAGTTACGAAATTTTTAAATCAGTCTCAAGAGATTAAATGTTAATCTGCTAAATTGTAATGTAAGTCCTTATTAGGTTCCACAAAAAAGTGACCTGTGAAGGGATTTCCCCTTCTTCTTTTGAGCATCATTATTTCAAAATGTCACAGACTGCTAGAAGGAACACTGACCTCTGTAGAAATGGCAAGTTTTGACACAGACCTTATAAAAACACTGTATGAAATTAAGTATTTAACAACTTCATTATTCATTCCTCTCTATTGCCAATTAGTTAAAGCACAGTTAGCGTTTAAACATAGAATGCAAACAAAATACTTGTTTCTCATAAATCTGCATATTGTGAGGAGAGGTGGTTTGGAAATTCTTCTTTCTTGATTGATTTGTTCATTACATTTTCAGGCTTAAGAAGAAAGAATTTAGTTTAGAAGAAATTTACACAAACAAGAACTACAAGTCACCTCCTCCAGCCAGGTTGGTTCTGCTTTCTAATGAAAAAACTAAGATAAATGTAAATTACTTAGGCAGAGAGAGAGAGGGAAGATTAAAGGTGTCTGAAAGTAGTAGAGAAAAGCTAATTCAAAAATAGTATTTTTGACTCTTTGGATGGACAGCAGTGAAGTGGAATATGAACTAAGAATTTTCAGCTGTTTGAGTTTATTTTTTCAGCTACTTCTTCATCCCAGCCTCCATCCAAGTACAGTACTTACTTTTTTAAATTGAAAGACAACTAAATATTCTTTAAAATACCAAGAATAAATGCCTGTCATCAAATAGAGCATGATTATCAAGACTGCTACATTTTTTTAATGTTCAGATCTATTTATTCTATAAAACCAAGATTTTGTAGCTGTGTTTTTGAACTGAAATATAGACAGAGAGAGATTCAGTGCAAATGGCTATGCATCAGTAACAAACTTTAGCTAGCAGCAACATGCAGTTGTAGGAGGTGTAAGCTGTAGATCAGTATGTGTCACAAGAGTTGTGGAGGGACTGTAAAAATGTGTAAGTGAAAAGTGTGTTTACTTGGGTTAGGAAATCCAGCAGTCTCCCTGTCTTTGTAAGGTGGTTACCTGCTTCTTGAGTGTTCCTGAGTTCTCTCCTTTGCTTTTACCAGGAGCTTGGAAACAATCTTTGAAGAGCCCAAGGAGAAGAATGGACGCTTGATCTCTGTCAGCCAGCAGAAGAGAAAGCGGATTCTGGAGTTCCAGGACTTTACTCTTCCCCGGAAAAGGAAGGCACGAGGCAAAATCAAAGCAGTGGGTAGTTTCACCCGAGCAAAAAAAGCTGCACTACAGAGTGCAGAGTTAGATGCTCTTCTGAGTCAGAAGCTAGTGGACCTTGAAGCCTTTTTTGCAAAGGAGGCTGAGCAGGAGCAGGCCTCTAGCATCTGAGGGAGCTGTTTAGCTGAAAATGGTCCAGTCAGCTCCTTTAGTATTTTAGTCCCGTTGGGAGAAATCTACTGACTTTTTCATACATTACTCTACCATGCTGTTCCAATATCTGATGATCAGTTTTTGGCTGTCACCCTCTTTAAGGTGCTATTTTTTTTATTATTTTTTTTTCTTAATGCTATTGGAGGGATTCTTTTGGGTCCCTGTTTGAGTGTAACACAGCCACATTGAATTTACCCTTCCTTCCCCAGCCTGGGTATTCCTGCTAATGTTTAATTATGTTTAAACACTTATTGGGGGTAGAGTAGTTGTGTAAAGGAGGAAGTAGTGCACCTTCAGTGATGCTAGAACTCTGTACTCCAGATCATTTGCACATTTGAGTCTGCTGTTGTTACTGTAATGGCTGTTTTGAACAACCTGACAGAAGATATATGGTGTTTGATAAAGCTAAATTCTAGCAAACACATTCTTGGTATACCACTAACTTTTTTAATAATTAAAAGTAGCTATCTGGGTTTGCTTTCAATTGTTTCTTCCTTTTTTTTTTTTACTTAGAAGGTTCCTTCTGAGTCTCTGTGCCCTTCCTGGCTTCAGGCAGCAGAAGCCCCACATAACTAGATTTTAAATAACTTGCACTTTGTATACGTGTATTTGCTGCATGAGGACACCTTTTAATGTGATTGAGCTCAAAAAAAAGGTAATATTTTAAGAAAAAAGTTGTGCCCAGTACTGATTTTTCCCAAATAGTAAGTTTTGCCTACTTGGCTGATGCCAACTTCTTCTCCAGAGGAAAAGGTAATTAGGCCATGAAGATGTTAAGCTGCAGTATATGTAAGGAGAGGTTTTTATTTAACTGAGCTGAGCTGCTGCATGCAGGGAGCATCAGCAAAATCTTTGAGACTTGTTTTTTCTCATTCCATTAAAAACATCAATTTCATTTTAATGCCAACAATAAATATTTTTTTTTTAATCTTGAAGGGGTTTTTTTACCATTTTAGATTTACAATTCACATAACTCATAATTGGATATTCTCTGTACAGCACTGTTGTGCAAAATAGCTAGTGTTGTACAAGGAGCCTCCTAGCATGTGGAAATTTTTTTTTTTTTTCCATTATGTAAGGTCATTTGAATTATCTGATGCAGCACTAGGCAATTTCTCAGCTATACCTTTTGAGGGAAAAGAGCTCCCTTCTGGGATAACTTCTGTTGAACTTACTTGAAGCAAAATTAAAAATGAATACTAGCTGCAGTTCAGGTATTTTCTGTCCTTCAGTGCCTGTAGAAGTTATTCAGACAAAGCTGTTATTGCTGGGATGCTCAAATTGAATCAGTCTGTTCTTTCTTTCACTTGTCACTCGAAACTTGCACTTTCTTATTTACCTACCCATATAACAGTTCTTATTTATCTTCAAAATAAGAAAATATCTAGTGGGTTGGTATTTTTAATAAGTCCCAATAAATGCAGGATTGAAAATACCATTGTTATCTTCTGGTGCTCTGCCACTTCTGTTACTGACCAAACAGAAAACTAGATATTAACAAGCCATCTCAATTCCAGATCTTTGAAAGTAAGATAAATGGAAGAGGATTGTTACACTGTGTGTGCTTGAGTCTTGAAAGAAATGTAACCTGGCCTTGTTTGCTCCCAGATTATGTGCCAGGGTTCCTGGAAGCTTACATTCTTGTTTTGGAGGCTAGTTATCTTTAATCAGGAATAGCAAAGAAACAAGCACACACTCCTTGTTTGGCTTTTGAGGATAAAATATCAAGGCGGGCAAACTGAAAATACTGACATACTATTTGAGCAGCAAGGTCTGGTTAACCTATTTGGGCTGCTGTAGAACACTTTAATTGATCCTCTTTATTTTTATAAAAAGAAATCCCTACAAAATAAAGGCTTTTTAAATTTTTGAAACTTTCTCTATACTTGTTTAACAGCCCAGTTATTGACTGGGTGGAAGCTGTAGCAAGAGTAAGAGATATATTTTTATGGTTTTATGCTATAGAATGGGATTGTCACACAGCATTTGTTCACCCTCTGTTAATATGGGAGGATTCTAGTGCTGTGACACAATGAGTTGCAACCTTACTGGGGCTTTTAAGGAAACAAGGATGGGGTGAGGAGGGAGCAAACATTGGTCCAGGGAAAGTTCACACCTCTAATGTGCTTCAAAACATGGAATGTGTTGGCTTCTTCCTTTGGGTTGTGGGGTTTTTTTTTGGGTTAGCTATTTTGTGGGTTTTTTTGCCTCCTTCCCTGCTCTGTCTCATTTCTGATTGCTTTGAAATAACATTTTTTAGCTTTCTTTTTAACAGTTACAGCAGAGAGAGCAGAGCTAAGAAAACATTCAATTCTCTTTTGTTTACAGTAATATGAGGAGTTAGGAAATGATGTTGCAGTTGTTTAGCTTGTCCCAGACCTTAGTTTGTGGAAATCCAAATATAGAGCATTATTCTTTCTTGGTTTAGTATTTGTAGGATGAGGGAGATGTAAGTTAATTGAGACAAAGCATCTGTTCTCCCCCTGCAGCATACAGACGTCAGTCATGCTCGTGCACTTTTTTTCCTTTCCCACCTCTGTTGCTGGTTACAGCACTCGTAGAACAGCCTTTTTCCTTGTGGCTGCTGCTTGTACACTGGGAGTGATGACTGCACAAGAGCTACGTATTGGCCAGTCTGAGCTGCTTCTGTCCCAGAGAACTGAAAGAAAAAAGTATAGAGGGTGCATCTTTTGTGGTCTTGCACATGTCCGTAGCTGAAGGATATGTACACTTGCCCTTTCATAAAATTAACCCACTCCAGTGAGGATTATTTTTTTTTGTATCCTCGTGGGAAGACACTGTACATATTCCTCAAATGATAACCACCAGAGCAGCTTGAGAAGAATCGCAAGGCTTTTGCCATGTACTGTCTCCTGGTAGTAAGTTTTGCAGAGCCAGGAAGCTCTTTGCTAAATTTGCTGATTATGGGAGTTGGAAAGATCACTTTCATAAAAAAAAAAAAAAAGTGTACTTCATGCTTAATGTATGTTACAGCATTTGCCTGGCTGGCCTTGTGGCTGTGTCTGAGTTCTGATGCTTGCTAGATATGATTTTCTGCAAAGAGTTCTCATTTATTATATTTGATTTGAGGTGGGACTTTGGTATATTACGTTCCAGGTGCTCTTCTAGCATATGGATGATAACTGTGGATTAAAAAAATTCATATGATGCTATCAAGGTAACAAATAGCTCAATGAGATTTTGTACACTTGTGCCATTAGCCTCCATCTTGCTCTTGGCATTTTGTTTCTGTTGAATATTTTGTGAATCTAAAATTTTACTGTTGCTTTTGTGTGTGTTTTTAATTTATGGAAATAAATTTTTCTGAGAACCTTTCAGATTTCTAAGGGCTTGTTTAGGCTTGTATCAGTAAATATGCATGATCTGTCTTGCATACATGGGGAGAAGAGGTCAAATCTCCAGAGAAATTACACAGTGTAGTCACTGGGTGGGTTTTTGGTGAGGCACGGAGCAACAGTTCCAGTGTGTGTTAATCCATAGCCACTTCAACAGGATCAGAAACCAAGTGGGATTTAAAATCCTTAAACATGATCCCAGCTACTATTCACAGTCTTGAGACAGCATCCAGCTCCTAAGGTACTGGATGGAGTAGCAGGACCCAGACAGCACAGGCACCTCCTGCTACATTCAGAACTGAGATTGAGAGGTGAGGCAGGCCAGTGGCTCATGTCCTGCAGTCTGTGGCACCTTCAGACTGGTGCTTTTAAACAAAGCTGAAGCACAGGAACAGCCAAAAGGCCTACTGGGCATCTGTAATTTCTATGCCAGGAAACAGTTCACCCACCCCTCCAATCCCTAAAATCTTTTGTGTAACCCAGATTTTCAATTTACTGCTCTTCAGCTGCATGCTGCTCTTGGCTAAACTATACTGGCAGATAAGTTTCTTTGCTCTGTTCTCCTAACTCCCTTCTCTGATGGAAGTGCAGTGTTATGTGGGTCCCGCAGGTGGCATGAGAGCGCCAGTAAAAGCAAGGGAGCACCTCAGAGACCTGAACAAGCATCCTGCCCTTCTCTGCCTCTTCAGGACTACACCCTGCTGGCTTCAACGCGGTACAGGAGGATTCTGCCCAGCCACCTTACTGGAACTTGCTCCATTCACCATTTAGCTCTCAGCTTTTTCTCTGAAAGGCAGGCGAGTTTGGACTTGCATCCTCTGTTGTTTCGTTAGTCAATGTCAAACAATGGGACAAATGAGATAGAGACGAGACTCAGCTAAGACGCACTGAATCTAGAACCTGGGCTACTGGTCAGAGGGGCAAATTTTTCTTTCTCAGGAAGTGAAAAGAGGGAGGAGAGGGGTGACTAAGCTAAACAAAAAGAAAGACAAGCTTGGTATGGAATGAACTGTTTAAAAACAGGAGTACCTAGCAGTGTGTTTTATAACTGAGCGCTTTACTGCTGCCTCGCCCCGTTTGTTTTGGTGCAGGGTTGTTTTTTTTAATGTTTTTTTTTCCCTTTATATGACAGCTACATTGACTGTATTGTAGCTGGCTTGTCTTCATGATTTGCATCTCATTTATTGCTATCTGAGGTTAATACAATTGCAATATATGTAGCAAGGACTGGAAAGTTTTGGGTGAAAGATTTTTTTTTAAAATTAAAAACTTTAACCTTACCTGGTTCAGGGTGCATGGGAGCAGGAGGTGATAACACTCATGTAAACTGAAATGAGCCCTGCAAGAACCATCCACTTAATCTTTATCCACTAACAGGCAAAAGAATTCATGATACATGCTGTTAAAAAGGCTTCATATCATGTTCATCTAGTTTCTGCTTGCAAAACTAATTCTATTTAATTGATAAATCATTTTGATACTTCATAGAATCATTGATTCAAAGTGTCAAAGTACTATCAAGTAATGATTGCAGTTTTTGACAAGGATGAATAACCATTGCTTTCCTTTACCTTGAGGCTGCAAGCATCCAGTTCTGCTGGCTGTTAAATGCCTTAGTACATTAACTTGTAAGAGGAAAATGATTTGATTTACTAGTATAAATCCTTGGTTAAAAAAGCAAATACATTCTTCCCAGTTAAAAGATTACTGATTCTGATACCAATTACAGATACAACCTATAGCATATATGT